ACACACACACACACACACACACACACACACACACACACACACACACACACACACACACACACACACACACACACACTATCTAACAAATTTATCTAACATGTCAGAGCCTATAGGATGATTTAAAAAACAATAAATAACATCAAACAGCCATCTTCCAACCTGTTCTGCCGCTAGAAATAAGTTACTTTTCTTTTACCTCTCTCCTTTCCTCCTGCTTCGTAGCAGGCGCTTCCATGTCGCAGCTGACCCCCCCGCGGGTGCGAGTTGTATGGATTTTTTGCAAAATTTATGGATTTTTAGGGCTCTTTATACAGGTAAACGTCCAAAGAGGTTGAAATGTTTGCGAACCAGACCAAACTTCAGTCAAACAAGACCCAACACTTTTATTCCTGATTTAAACTAGTGATCATGTGAGCAGCTGCAGCTGTATGCTTTTATTTTTTTCTGTCAGGCTGTCGGAGCGCTCCTCCTCCTCTGTCCGGTGCTGGTGTGGGGTGAAAATCCTCCACCTCAGACGTTCAGAGATGTAACTATCTGCGATGCTGTGGTCACTCTCCATGTAGCATCAATTATGCTAATGCTAGCTGCCTGTCACATTCTCTTGTCCTGGCCACACCTCCGCTCTCTAACCCCCCTCCCCTACCCACTTTGTTGCATTTTTCAAATTTCGCCTTGGGGCGGAGTTATCTTTTCACAGGGGGTAAGATACACTTTAAGGTTAGTTCAGTTCATCTCTGAGAGAACTTTTGGGGTACAGGCTTTATCATTGTGCTGATGTTTTTTCTCTAATTCAAGCCATTCTCACTCCCAACTCATCACATATCGACGCTTGTCCAAAGTTCCCTCTGCATCCAATTTTGAGGCGTCGGGTAACCCCCTTGTGTCAGTTATTGACAAGATGAGAACGAGGAGGAGGAGCCTGTTGTCATATTTTTGAAAAGGGTAGAAAATGCAAAACAAGTAACTCTGCCAAAACCTAAACTTAACTTCTATTCTTCCTATATCCTATCCCTGACCTCACTACCTAAAATTTACCAGTAATCCTGATCCCTAATATTAACCACGAACCCCCAACCCAAAGACCCTATGTGGCGCAAGTTTTTACACTGAGTAAAAGAAAAAGTCAACAGCAAATAAAGTTTTTTTTTTTTTCTAAATACAAGCACAATTATACCTCAGATGTCAAAATGTTTGGCAGGTGATAAGAGGCTTACTCCATTAATTGCAGCTCAGTACATGTCATGTTCTTGAACTTTCCAACATGCAGCAGAAAGGTGTAAGGTGTCTCAAAGGGAGCAGATCAGCCATAACACAGCTCATAACTGCAAATCAGGATGACTTGTAAATTTAACACTGAACAACTGTAATTTCAGCATGCCATCACCGCAAATGGAATAAAAAAATTATGGCAAAGATATGAGATGAAAAAATATGTCTGTGTCAGAAACATGCGCCATCGAAACAAAAATGTGATGTTTTCCCCCAGGTACTCCGGTTTTCTATCACAGAATAAGAACATGCATGTCAGGGGTAACTCAAAATTGTCCCGAAGTGTGAGTGAGAATAACGGGGGTTTTTGTCTCATTTGTCTCTAACGTGGCTCTGTGATGGACTGGACACCTGTCCAGTGTGTCCCCCGCCTCTCACAAAGTGACTGCTGGAGAGAAGGCACCAGCTCCCCCGCAACTCGGACAGGATAAGCAAGTAAAGAGAGTGGATGGATAGAAAATAAAACTGTGAAAGGAAGTTTTGCTCGACTTACCTCTCTCCACTCTTTGGTTCCCACAGCCTGCACATATAACACAACCACTGTAAGAAGAAAAAAAGGGGGAAAAGGAGAAGATTTTTTACTTCTTTGTGTTCCCTCTACGGTTTTCTATATGCTGGCACCTGTAGGACCTGAAAGATATTAAAACACTTGGATAAACTTTCAATTTTATTAAATCTATCATCACGAGGGGAAAGTAAACATCTTCTTATTGAAAACTTTTTAAGGACTCCTCACAAAGACACTCACTGTAAATAAAGTAACATAAACTGAAAGATGATTCAATTTTTGAGATATTCTTCTGCATGAGAAATGACTTTTGAAGTTTTCTAATTTAACAAAATACATTTGGCTTCCTGGTTTCACTTTATATGACTGAGAAATAAATTGGGATCAAATAAAGGCCTAGCATTTCTTGAAGAAATGCATATCTCCTGCCACCTCTTGACAGGATGTAAATCCAAGATGGCCGCCACGACCATCTGAGCCTTAGAACATCTCACAAGACCAAAAGTATATTTCGGAGTAAAACAAACAAACGTATCAAGGGTGCTTCTGGCCAAGTTGTGTTATCTGTGTTTAGACAGCACCAGCCCTAATGCTCTAAATGAATCTCAGAGTGTCTAAACGGGCAAATGATTAAAACCAAATTTTCCCTCCTAATAAGCAATTAATAGAGGGGAGATAAGAGAGAAAGCACAGCAGGCGGGGAATCTTTTGGGCACCGTGTTTAGAGGAAAACAATATTTTCTTTGTCACATCGTTAACCATGCGGAAAACAGAATATAGTGCTGCTTAAATTGGTTTTGTAAATCTGATTAGAACAAGCTAATCAGCTCGTGACTTGCATGTTAGCCTTTATTTCACTCGGGAAGGGGAAAGAAGTGAGGATGAATGAAGACCAGTTCTTATGGGTCGTGCTGTCATTAAGTCAAACTGTCCAAACAAAGAAGGATCGTCGAGAGATCGAAGCACAAGAGCGTGAGGTTTCCAGGGTCTGGGCAGCAGAGGCCGACAGAGGGCTCCGATTAATCTGCGGTTATGTTACCTGAGTCCAAGGAACCTGACTGATTGTCGACGTTATGGAAAGTGACACAAAAAGGAAGGAGCGCATCTGGTCAGCCACGTAGCAGCTAAACGACGAAGCTATCCAACGTCCCTCTGAAACTGAGTCCCAGCTACGGCGTCTGAAAATAGTCTGGCTGCAGCGCGGGCTCAAAGGGAACATGAATGATTCGGAATGGAGCACAAATCATATTAAGCTGTAATGGACATCCAAGGCTTAGCAGTCTGAGAGTGCTACAGTAGGAGGATGAAACACCACCAAACTGGGGCATACAGACATATTTTAAAAGGCTGGATTTTTTTTAATAAACTGCATATTCATTGTAAAGATCCAATGCTTTCCACACACTCACAGAAGCCATTAGTCAAAGCAGAAAACTTCAATGAGCATTGATTGGATGACTGGCTGCTGTGCTATATACACAGAAAATGTTGGGCTTGATTAACTGCACCTCTTTACCTAAGAAAAGTTGGTAACCCTTTTGTTCACAGTCCCCTAATTACATTTCAATTATCTAGTTTTTACATGTAAGTAACAATATTTTACTATGCAATTTCTTGGTAAGAACATATAATAATACTATATAATTAAACAAATTTTAATGTGTAATATTACTATAATTACAGTTAAATAAAATTACCCACTATTTGCCAACAGATTACTACATTTTGACAATAACCTAATAAATATATTATAATGTAATTACTATGTAATGAATTTCCAAATAACATATATACATTCCCTAATTACTATGATATTATAATGTAATTACTATGTAATAAACTAATTTTGTGATAATTATAATAAAATTAGTTTAAAAGTACATCAATTACATAGCATTTTGTAAATTTCCACATAACATATATAAATACATTCTCTAATTACTATGTAATCAACAAAAAAAGTAGTAAATTATAGTATATTACTATGTTAGTAAAACTACTTTTAGTGGGTAAATACAATCCAATTACTGTTCAACAGAACCTCAATTATATAGTGTTAGCCAAAAGAATACAACTAAATTTCCACATAATATAGTGTTTTACTATGTAATTACAAATTGTTTGTGGGTTATAACTTTAACAATGCAAAAAATTACCTATTTACTTATGTTATACACTTGTAATATATTACCAGGTAAGAATACTAATATAGCCTGGCCCTTGCCTTCCTATTCCGTTCAATTCTAGTTTTCCTTCACTGCTCCGTCTGGGATTTCTCCCATAGACAAGGATTTCTTCAGAAGCATTTCATTCGGGCCAATCAGAGAACAAAACATTGATTTTCTGCGCAGTGTCTGCTAGTTAGTTTAGCATACGGCAGTGGAGGAAGTGAAGGAAGCCAGTCTGTGTTGATAAGGCTTCCATATTAAAATAAATTTGTCTGACAAAGCAGCAGCTCTCATTCACAGTCGTCTCATTTGGCTCGGTACTTTTCTCCACTCAGTAGGGTTGTTTACAGCACACGCGATTTCCGGTTAGCTTCTTAGCTTAGCCTCCTTAACAGCGACATACGTCGCAGTCAACCGATCCAATGATTTAAAACTTCAGCAGAGGCCACGCCTCCAGCAAGAATCGCTTCTCTATAGCCGCGAGTCCAGACCCTCGTACGAAGCAAAGTGAAGGACAAGGGTCTGGTTTTTTACCAGGCTAATATTAATAGGGTAGTATTAAATTTTCTTAACAAGTAATTACCTATTAAAGAGTAACTTATATGTAAATACTAGGTAATTGCATGGTAATTAGGAGACTTTAAAAGAAAGGGTTGCTGAAAAATTGTATAGATTCAAGTTAATGCTTTATTCCAAACTTAAACTATAAAATAAAGGAAAGTTCAGCAATGAGATTTACTTTTATTTTCTGTTTCCAGATGAGTGACCTTACCGGTGACATCAAAAACATGTTCCGTGAATAAAACATTTCGTACTTAGAAATGTGCATGGCAAAGCCTAGCTAACCAGGTGACAGGTCAACTGGATAGAGGCTGAGGTTGCTATATGAAAGCGCTATTGGAATTATGTAAACCCAATTAGCTCAAAAAGCATGTTTGGATCTTTATGAAAAATCCCATGCATGATCCTAAAGGAAAGTTTAACACAAAACAGTTTAGCGCAAATACATCGCGTTTGTATAGCGGCGTAAATTTACCAGTTGAATTTGTGCAATTATAATGGCATTTCCATATCAATCTCATTTTTTTTACCAATGAACGTGAGGTTGGCCTGCTTTGCGCATGCGCATTTGTGATCATTTCTAACTATGAAATGGTCTACTATCTTTCATTAAAACTTTTTTTTTTTGATGGCCTCCCTTCTCCCCCTTTAGCCCTCCTTTCCACACCATTATTATGTTTTTTTTTTTTTTTTTTTTTTTTTTTTTTTTTTTTTTTTTTTTTTTTTTTTTTT